CCTTACCTATCACCGATTTAACTTTAACACAGTACCCAAAAAATACCACAAATCCTAACCTTATCATTAACGCATTCAAAGAAATTATAGAGAAGTATCCAAATCACCACATAATATACACAGATGCATCAAAAACTGAAAGTGGCCATGCTGCAGCCTTCACAAATAAAAATTACAAATATGCCATTAGAATTCCACAGCATTGCAGCATTTACACCGGAGAAACCACAGCGATATTAGAAGCTATCAAGAAATCCTCTTCAACGACTGAAAATAATATTTTAATCATCACAGATTCACTGAGCGCAATTCATGGAATTAATCAACTTTACCCTAGCCATCCCATTGCACAAAACATAAAAAATGAACTTAATGCACTACACCATATAAATAAAAAGGTTACATTTATCTGGATACCTTCACACATTGGCATTAAAGGCAACGAGGAAGCTGATCAATTAGCATTAAAATCCATCAAAAATGAAAATGTTCCAGAAATTACTAAATATCCCCACACCGACCATAAACGACAGTCAATGAATCATATAATAAATTTATGGCAAGCAACCTGGGATGCAACAGACTCTAAGTTGAAAACAATAAAGCCTCGAGTAGACTCTAGCCTACCACAACAAGGAAAAAGAAGAGATCAAGTAATCGTAAATCGTCTTCGAATCGGCCACACAATACTAACACACCAACACCTTCTAAATAAAGAACCAGCTCCAATTTGTACCTACTGCACTACTCAACTCACGGTGAAGCATCTGATAGTCGACTGTCCGCAGTTCCAACCTCAGAGAACATGCCGAGGAATTAGTGGAAACCTGAGAAGTGCGCTTACGACAAATATCTCGGATTTATTGCAGTTTCTAAAAGACATAAACATTTATAATAAACTTTAATTTAACAAACTGTACTACTGTGTATGTCCCCCCACTAATAACCCTTGGTGGTTGATGTGGGTTTTGTATGTTTAAATAAAAAAAAAAAAAAAAAACTTGATACCAAGGACAGTGAAGTAAAGGTGAATAAAATAACCAAACATAGACCAAAAAAAAGATTTTAATCTGATTAAATCTATCTGAGAAAGACATGTAATTAAGCATTAGAAATATACGTCAACAGTTTATTAAAGGAAGCATTTTACAAAAAACTAATTAAACTAAAGGGGAAAGTAACAGCAATGGCCACAAAAAAAAGAAACGAGGAAGTTACTTAAGCATTTTAAACAATAAAGAAAGATAAAGCAGTTGGTCAAGATGATATTTCTGCGGAAGTGTGGACAGCTTTAGGAGAGATGTAAACAAGTTTGTTAGGGAAGTGTTACAAATTCCAGCCGAATATATAAGTAGGATATTAGTACTACCTGTTTACAAAATCAAACGTTAAACAATGCACAAACTACAGGGCCATAGAACTACTTAGTATATCATAAATCAGAGTAATTAATAGACGATTACGTGAAGAATCTAAAATATTCGAAAATCAGTTTGGATTTATGCAATACAGATTGGCAAAATATGCAATTTTTATTATGAGACAATCGATGAAAATTAGAGGATTAAAGAAACAAACGTTCATGTCACTATTTGATCTCGACAAAGTATATGACAGAGTTTCAGGAGAGGTTCTGTAAGGGGCTCTGAATAAAAAAGAATATTTGGAATGTTTATTTAAATATGGAGTCATTACTACAAAAAGGATGTTACAACAGATAAGAAAATTCTATAGAAGCACCATTAACCAGTTAAAAAAAAGAGAAGCCACGAATGCTTGTGAAAGGAATGAGAATGCTTAAATGGTTTAAGAGAGTGGCAAAAAAGATAATATTAAGAATGTTTTTATTCTAAGGAGAAGGGAAAAGAGGAGTCTAGGGGTATCACCTACCAGAATAATCTAAACAATGGAAATGATCTGAAGTGAGTAGGGACAAACTTGATCCGGAGACAGCTTTTGACAAAGGCACAATGTTCCTTATGAGGCAAAAATAAGTGTAAACATTTTAAATCAAAATATTTAATCCTCATCTATAGATTTCATTGTAAAACAAAGTATTTCGCATAACTATTTTCAAACCATTTTATTGCTAAGATTATACTAATATATGTCTTAGTTTAACACTTGAAGACCTTAAAGCAACAACGGTACATCACACAAAGTAAGTTTTTGAGCAAATCGACTATATCAATTTTTGGCCAAAGGTTTTAATCAAATCCTGAAATACCAAATATATATTAGAAAGTCAGTAAATGGTGTTATTAAAAAACTGTATATCTACTAACCTTGAAACGCCAAGCTAATTTTAATAAAGTCGTTTTTGTAGAAAAAAAAACAATAAAATTTAGAAAAAATGTGTCTTGCACCTTTATTACAAAAAAAATTATGAATATAACAAGTAGTAAAATACCATACTTAGATTGTTTTTAAAATCACTTAAATTTTCATCCTCTAGATCCGTAAGGTCATCTAAATGATCCTAATAATTGTGTTTCATTATCTATGTCATTAATATTCCTATATTTTCAACAATACCAATCTCTCTATAGTAATTTTGGTAAATAGGTGGTGTATACCGAAGAAGCATTGAAAGAGTAGATATTTTTTGGATTTAATGGAATGGGTGCATCATATTTAATTTTTAAATCTCTTAAACTCAGGTTTACTGCAGTTCTTACACATCTACCAATATTGGTATATTTAAATTCTTTGTTCCAAAGATGTTTATAAAATATAACATTCGAGAGTCTCTTGAATAAATTTAAATGTACGAATTTACTGAAATTAAGCTTTTCTTTCTTTCTGTTTGAGATTTTCTTTGTAATATTTGGGATCTGTAAGTCCTTGAACAACAAAATATCTTGTTGCTATAGAACAATGACATTGAAAGGATGTTTTCTTTTTGAGTTTAAAACCGCTTGATACCAATCAGCAGACATATATACTTGACTTAAATAACGACGCTTATGCTTTTCAATAATTGTGAAGTCACGATCAGAAGGAAGATGTGTGTGTCCCATTTCTATAAATATATGCTCTATTGTATAAAAGCCACTTTCTTTAACTTGTTGCCACGAACATACAATGGTCCAATGTTTGTTTTGTTCGACGCAATTATCGCTATATACAATAAGCTTTCTATGTTCACTAGGATTTTCCTTAAAATGCTTATATAATATACTAGCAATCTCATCACTTCCACGTTTTGCTAAATGTTCGGGCCACATATACATATATCCCATATCTTTAACGCGGTCATGTATTCCTAAGTTATAGGCCCAGATTTTTCTCAGATAAAAAGCAGGACCAACTATCAACGAAGGGTGTGGTAGAGCTTGCTGTAAATCAAAGCTGATGACAAGGGTGTCTTTTGTTTTCTTAGCATTTTTTAATTCATCTTTAAGGCTTGTTTGCAACGCTTCGGCCCTACGATGGTGTAGCTCAAGCTGAGTCTTGTGCTCCCGTACTGGCAACATTTCTAGAATGTTAAGAAAATCACATGTTTTGCAGGTGTCAGTTTTGGGTAATTTAAATCCAATGTTAAACTCCTTGCAAAAACGTTTCTGTAGTAGCTTTCTTTTACTGGATTGGCATTTCTATCTCTACACCATTCTAGATAATAATCGTGATAAAGAGCAAAAATTGATAAATCATTATCTATGTAAACTTTGTTTGATTTTTTTGCCCACTATAGTGACTAGTGTATTTTGTGATGGATTTAATACGGGTTTTTTACATTTTCACGATCACAGTCATTTATTTTATTTGCTCTGTTCTGGTGTTTGCCACGTTTATCTGATTTTGTAGTACTAGCACCTTCCTTCATTGGTTCACATAAAAGTTCAATTCTTTTTTTTAGTTTTGAAATCCATGAACTGCAAGAGACCCTTGTTTGCATATTTTTACATCTCGCGACGATACATGCTTTTCGTTTTTTTGGGGTAGGTTCTTTTTATTTTGAACAGATTTAATTTGGGAAAAAAGGTAAATATTTTGTTTATTATAGTCAGCCAAGTTCCAAAACGTATTAAAGATCTGTGCTTCATTTCCCTGCATAGCATCTCGACATTTCTTGCTACACTTACATGGAGGTCCGATTTTCCTGCCAGGTACTTTTTTTTGCCCTTTACTTACATAACTATGACCCAAGTTTCGTTTGATTTTTCTCTTATGTCTAGTCTGTCGCTCTAGGTTTGCAGCGTGGAAAGAACCTCGTCGGACAAGCAAATCATTTTTTTTGATTCGGTAGCAGCAGAAAATGTATTTGCCTGCAAACAAAAATAGTGTTATAATCCTGGGACTAGCATAAAAATGTTGTAAAATTGTTTAAGGCAATAATGGGATAAGCCACAACTCGACGTTAAATCGACATTATAACTTACAAAGCAAGGATGATTTAATTTTTTTTAACAATATTACGAAAGTAGTAGTAGGTAGCTATGGTATTTTAGCATTAAGAAATTATATTAACATTGTTTATAACAAATAAAAAAAAAGAATATTTAAGCCACAATAATTTTACTTAAAAAGAGGACAAGCCACATATTTTAATTACTCACCGTTTAGTTCACTACCTGAAGAGTGTTCACTATCACTATTACTTTGACTATAGTCTTTGTCTTTAACACTATCATCAGACTCAAAATACGAATCAGAATCACTTTCAGAATCTTCATAATAAAACGAATTTTGTGGACCTGTTCTACTACTTAAAGTGGCCACTATCAAAATATGGTGCTAGTACCGTTGTTACACTTGAAATATTGATTTCGGTATAAAAGTAACAAGGATATTTGTAACTCGTGGAGTCATCTATGAAGAAAAAGCTGTAGTTTTTATTTTGTAGGTAGATAGGAACCTAACCATTTGAAAAATGGATATAACTCATTTTTAGTAAGATTGTGGCTTATATCGTTGTTGCTTTAAGTCTTTAATATTAAAATTTATAATTTGAGTATCTCTATAGTAATATTTATTTCAATTGTAAATTCTTGTTTAAGATAAAAGAAAAATATCCATTTATATATGAATGTCTGAGGACAGCACCTCCTGATGATTTGATCGCAAGAATTAACAAAGATAGATTAGCCAGCAGCTATCAGGTTGATTACTGCCACAAACGTAAGTAAATTAACTTAATAAATATTATACTTGTGATAACTTTATAGATCAACCAATCAATAATATAGCAAATTTTTTTAAGAAAAATAAATGGTCTAAATCCCAATAACACGTACAAACATGTACAAACACAAAAGATAATAAATCTACAGTTGATAGACGCCAGAGCTCCAGAAGTATATAAGATCTCCGTTAATTTAACAATGAATTTCCCATAATTTCCTATAACTCTTCTCTTGGTTAAAATTGTTAGGCCGTTTAATTTTCGCAGGAAACTAAAATTGTGTACTGCTTTATAAACTGTATATCTGTTTATTATATGAAATGGTTGGCAAAAATCAATTAAGTTCATATTTAATAATAAATGAAATCCAAATGAGCTAGTAAAAATCTATTTCATTGTAAAACCTTATTCACCTAATTATTGATATTTATCGGGAGCTATATGTGCATTATGTGGTTTTCCTTATTTGACTCCGCGTTGAATATTTTTTTTTAACATTATTTTGACGACGTTTTGGCATCATCAAGTAGGTAGCAAAGCTTGTTGCTGGTGCTTGAGTAAACTGTTTACGTCGTCAAAATAATGGTTTTTCTCAAAACCAAAATTATGCAACGCGGAGTCAAACCCCGACAAAACAATCCGGAAATTTAAAAAATTGCATAACTTACTTTAAAGAGAGTGTATTGATGATGTTGAATCAAATAAATTTTTTCCACCTAATGGTTATAAAAAATATAGAAAAAATACGTCTTAAAAACTCGTCACAGGATAAAAACCACAACGTATATATTTTCTACCATATATATATATATAATATATATATATATATATATATATATATATATTATATATATATATATATATATATTTATATATATATATATTCATATATATATATATATATATATATATATATAATATAATATATATATATATATGTATATATATATACATACAGGGGGTCCTTAAAGTAATTGTACAAAAAGATGAAGTAAATTAAGTAAGATACAGGTCCTTGAGTAAATTAAGAAAGATACAGGGTGTTAAAGTGGAAATTTAAAATTTTATTTTTCGCGATAACCTTTACGTTTCTCAACATTTATGTATAAAAATTCACAACTATGTGTTTGGGTACTATTGAATATCAGAAATTATAATTTGATGCATAGTTTGATTTTAATTTAGCTGATAGAGGGCGCCACATATGCCACAATTGTGTGGCACACATTTGCACTTAAATTTTTTGCTCTTTAAGTTACCGGTATTTTTGATAAAAATTAAAGATACATTATTTTAACAAAAACAAGTTATACTGGTTAATATCTTCAAAACTCAACAGTTTTCAAGATAATCGAATTTTACAAATCAACTACATAATTCTGATTTAACGCAGTTACTCCAAGCAACGAAAGAAAATTAAAGAAAAACATCAATACTTTTGAATTCTGGTATAAAATACCTTAAATAAAGTTAATAGTTAACTATTATTATATATTATTAAATATTATTATTAAATAAAATACATATATCAGCAGGATAATAATACTAGGATATGACAAAACAATAGAATAATTTATTGGATTTTACTTCAAACATTTTACGTTTTGTATTAAATTAAAAACAAAATTAAGAAATAGTTAAACTAAATAATATTAAACTTTTTGTCAAAGTTAGTGTTCGATATATCCACCATTTTCTTTAATTCATGTGTCAATACATTCCATAAAAGATCGTATCCATAAAAAATGTAAAATCAATAAAATCATTTTATAAAAAATGTAACTATCTCACCATTCAAATTACAAGGTAATTCGCATATTCGTAAAAAATCATTACCAATAGTTCTAAATCATATGTTTATTTAAAATTCATATTTAAAATGTATATCGTATGGTTTAAACCATTGGTAATGATTTTTTACGAATATGAGAATTACCTTGTAATCTGAATAATGAGACTTATTTAAATTTTCTATAAAATGATTTTATTGCTTTAGTGGAAGAATTGTGATCAAACTAAGGCGAAATATGTGGTTTATACAAGATAGTACACCATTACATTACAGAGAAAGGGAAGTGAGATGAGTATTAAATAGTCATATTCCTTGGTCATGTGGTGAGATTTTAATCTTCATTAGTTTCTTGAGAACCAATATAAAACGATCTTTTATGGAATGTATTGACAAATTGACAAAATGAATTTAAAAAAACGGTGGACATATCGAATACTTACTTTGACAAAAAGTTTTTTTATTTGGTTTGTAAATAAAATGTTTTTATTATGACTTTAATTCAATATAAAACGTAAAATGTTTGATGTAAAATCATATTGTTCTGTTATTTTGTCAAACCTATTATTGATTATCTTACTGATATATTTATTTTATTTAATATTTCTTTAACTATTAACTATATTAAAGGTATTTTATAACAAAATTCAGAATTATTGATGTTATCATCTACTTTTCTTTCATTACCTGAAGTAATTGCGTTAAATCAGAATTATGCAGTTAATTTGTAAAATGCGATTAGGTATTTCGAAAACAGTTAAGTTGAGTATTAATAGGTATACCTGTTTTTTGTTAAAATAATGTATCTTTAATATTTTTTATCACAAATACCGGTAATTTGCAGAGCAAAAAAGTAAGGTGCAAATATATGCCAGATATGTGGCATATGTGGCACCCTCTATCAGCTACATCAGAGTATATATCGAATTATAATTCCTAATATTCAGTAGTAGCCAGTTGTTAATTTTTATACATAAATATTTACAAACATGAAAGTTATAGCAAAAATAAAATTTTAAATTTCCACATTAACAGCCTGTATCTTTCTTAATATAAAAATTTTATTACAGCAATTTTGCTTAAATTGTAATATTTTAAAGTGTAGAATCTGCGGTTTCTTTTTGTATAATTACTTAAGGACCACCCCATATATATATATAATGTAATATATATATATATATATATATATATATATATATATAATATATATATATATATATATATATATATATGTATGTATAAACTGCGCTACAGACCTTGTGTAGACCCTGGCTTCTAACCCCTTGGTTATTTTCATCCATTTTTTTTCGGCCCCTTGCTTTCTCTTTCCAATTCTTCACGCCTATTTCTGACAAGTCTGGTTTTCCTGCTTCCAGCCATTTCTTCTTTGGAAGAAGTTCCTCTTCTTTTTTCTCCCATTTCTTCCTCCTTCATTATTGTTTAAAAATTTCGATTCTCAGGCATTCGTATAATATGACCAAGCCATCTGGTTCTTTGGGTTCGTATTTTTGCTGTAATTACTGGTTTTTCATACATCCTCATTATTTCTTTATTCGTTCGTCTTCTCCAAATATTCTCTGCCCTCTTTACTCCTGCGAAGTTTTTTCTGAGTTACATTTCTTTCCCAGATCTCTACTTTCTTTTCTTCCTGCTGGTTCATAACCCACGTTTCACTGGCATACATCACTGTGGGTCTGATTACTGTCTCGTAGACGCAGTTTCGATGTTATTGACACACTTTTTGCTTTTAATAATGAATTTAGTGACCCTATCACACTGCTTCCCTTCATTATTCTTTTTTTCTCCCCGTGTTCGTTATGGTTACTACTAAGTATTCAAATTCTGACACTTTTTCAAAATCATATACAGTCTCTGCTCCTTTTATTTTGATATATTTGCTATTAGTTTTGTTCGGAAGCTATTTTCTTGTGGCATTTTAAATTAATTATTATTTAACTGGGAATAAGCCACAATTAAAGATAAAAATACGTTTATTGACGTTTCAATTTCCACTTCGGAAATCGTTCTCAAAATACAAACAGTAAATTAAACAAATTTTGTTTTTTGTTACATTGTGAAAAACTCTTCTAATAATTTAATTTTATCTGACTCATTATATATTGACAATTAAGACATACATTATGCATTTTAAAGTAGACGACTTTAAAATGATATTGCCAATATTGTTGAGTTGCGCTCCTGGGACGACTTTACTTATAAGATAGTTCATTCGATTACATGAAATCAACTTTAACTTGAGAATATTTGTCAGAAAAAATCATAGCATGTAATTTGTCCTTAAAAAGACAAACACATGACATTAAAATAAAAACACATAAACTTGAATTGGAAAAATCTACTAAAATTGAACAAAACATAAGCAAAGAGGAAATAAATTCTATAAAAACTTTAAAAAATGACGACTACCAGCAGACAAGGGAATGCAACTGTGATAATGGATAAAATTCAATACGAAAACAAATTAAAGATCTAATAATAAACGGCCTTATACAAAATTAACAAAAGATCCACAAAGCCTGTGGAAAACAAAATATAGAACTTTATTCAAGTTTAAAGATTTTTTAACCAGTTATCAGAGAGGATTAATTACACCTCATTACAGTAAGACTCCTCATTTTTATGAAGTACCGAAAATTCATAAAACGAATATACCACTTAGGCCCATTTGTAGTACCATGAATTCTCCTTGTAGTGAATTATCAAAATTTTTATTAAATATTTTAAAACCATTTACAAATAAAAATGACACATTCATAAAAAATACAACATTTATACCATTTTTTAACAAACATAACATTTTTTAAATAAATTATCAAATACTGAATTTAATTCAAATAATACTTTGGTAAGTTTTGACATAAATAGTTTATTTACGAATGTGCCGTTAAATAAGACTTTAAGTATAGTCAAGACAAAATTAGAGAGTGATGATTCATTGGCAACTAGAACAAGACTAAACATATCGGCTATAATGGAGTTATTAACATTATGTACTGATAATACATATTTTCAACTAAATAATGAATTCTATAAACAAAATTTTGGTCTAGCAATGGGCTCTAGTTTATCTCCATTCTTAGCCGATATATCTATGGAAGATTTTGAAACAAATATCATTTCTAAACAAAATTTAAAACCCACAGTATGGTAGAGGTATGTAGATGATGTATTCTCAATATGGCCTCA